CAATCATTTTTTAATTATCTTCAGCAAAATTTTACCTGTGCAAGATATTAATGACATTGTTCAATAATTTCTGCATTCTATTGGATTACCTATGCTTGGAATGGGCACAAATATGAATCTCTTCCAATCTGTTGGCTAGGTAGCTATCTTTCAAATTTTGTAGCATAGATGATTGAGTAATTGTAGCATTGTATCCATTTGTTGAAATATTTCAATTGGTATTCCATCAATTCCTGAAGCCTTATTTATCACCAGTGTCTTCAATGCAGTTTGGTCTTCTTCCCTCAATAGCATAGGTTCTTGATCATATGCTACCTCCCAAAATGGTTGAATATCGACCAATTCTTTTTGGTACAGTGACTGGATGTATTTCTTGTCTTTATTATTATTATTATTAGCTGCACTATTAAATATTTTGCCCATAGAATTCTTCAATATTACAACTCAAGGCTTAATTTTTTTCTTCAGTTCCTTCAGCTTGATAAATGCCAAGCACGTGCCTCCCTTTCGATTCTCTAACTCCCAGTCTTTGCACATTTCATTATAATACTTTGCCTTCTCAGACCACTCCTTGAAATGTTTTCTTCTGAAATCACCATTTCTTCCATTTGCTTTAGCTACTCATAGCTACTCTTTTGACAACTTACATTCAAGAGCAAGTTTCAGAGCTTCTTCTAACATTTGTTTTGGTCTTTTCTTCCTTTCCTGTTTTTTAACGTCTTCTTTGCTTTTTTTCATGTATGATGTTCTTGATGTCATCCCACAACTCATCTCATCTTTGGTCATTCGTCTTCAATGTGTCACATCTATTATTGGGATAGCCTCTAAATTCAGGTGAGACATACTCAAGCTTGTACTTTGGTTCCTGTGGACTTGATTAATTTTTCTTCAGGTTCAACTTGGACTTGCCCATGAGCAACTGATGGTTTGTTCTGAGCTTCTCTATCATCTCTTTACACAGCTGGAACCCATTTGATTCCTGTGTCTTGTATCTCATCTGGTGAGATCCATGTTATAGTGGCCATTTGCTGAAGAAAAAAAAAAAAGTATTTCCTTTCCAATGATAAATCTTGGTCTTGCAAAATTCTATCATGGGATCTCCAGCATCATCTCTATCTCTGTGGCCACATTTTCCAACCACCAGTCCTACTTTGTTTCCAACTTTCGTATTTCCATTACCAATAATTATAATGCTTCTTGATTGCATGTTTGATCAATTTCACACTGCAAAAGTTGGTAAAATCTCTTCAATTTCTTGATCTTTGGAATTAGTGGCATGTGCATAAAATTTGAATAGAGTCTATTGTCTTCCTTGTACGCATATGGATATTATTCTGTCACTGACAGTGTTGTTCTTCAGGACAGATCTTGAAATGATCTTTTTGACAATGAACGTGATGCCACACCTCTTCAATTTGTCATTCCTGTGATGGTAGACTATATTGCTGTCCAATTCAAAACGGCCAGTACCAGTCCATTTCAGCCATTTATGCCTAAGATATCATTCTTTAAGCGTACCACTTTTGACAACTTGCAATTTTCTTTGATTCATACTTCATACATTCCATGTTCTGATTATAAATAGATGTTTGCAGCTGTTTCTTCTCATTTTGAGTCATGCCACACAACAAATGATGGTCCTGCAAACTTTACTCCATCCACAACATTAAGGTTGACTTTACTTTGAGGAGGCAGCTCCTCTTCAGTCCTATTTTGACTGCCTTCCAACCTGAGAGGCTCATCTTCCTGTACTATATCAGACAATCTCCCATTGCTATTTATAAGGTTTTCAATGGACATTTTTTTTTTTTTTTTTAAGTAGACCGCTAGGTCTTTCTTGATAGTTTGTCTTAATCTGAAAGCTCTGTGGAAACCTGTCCACCATGGGTGACCCTACTGGTATTTGAAATACAGGTGGCATAGCTTCCAGCATCCAGCAACACACAAGTCACTACAGCACAAAAAAACTGACAGACAATTGGTGTTCACTAGGGAGCTCTGGTAGCATAGTGGCTAAGACACTTGCCTGCTAACCAGACGGCTGGCGGTTCAAACCCACCAGCCACTCCTCGGAAGGAAGTTTGGGCAATCCTACTTCCGTAGTGATACTGTCTCGGAAACCCAAGGAGGGGTCGCTATGAGTCGGGGCCGACTCGTTGGCACATAACAACAACAACAACAGTCCTTAATAAGGAGCTCTGGTAGCATAGTGCCTAAGGCACTGGACTACTAACCAGAGGGCTGGCGCTTCAAACCCACCAGCAACTCCTCAGGAGGAAGATGGGACAATCTACTTCCGTAGTGATACTGCCTCAGAAACCCAAGGAGGGGTCGCTATGAGTCGGGCCGACTGGAGGGCACATAACAACAGTCCTTAATAATTAGGAGCTCTGGTAGCATAGTGCCTAAGGCATTTGACTGCTAACCAGAAGGCTGGCGGTTCAAACCCACCAGCCACTCCTCAGAAAGAAGGTTGGGCAATCTACTTCCATAATGTTATCACTTCGGAAACCCAAGGAAGGGTCGCTATGAGTCGGGGCGACTCGAGGGCACATAACAACAGTCCTTAATAATTAGAACATATATTCAGCAATGAAGTCATCCTCGTTGTGTACCAAACAAAAAATAAAAAAACTCACTGCCTTTGAGTCCTTCCGGACTGATAGTGACCCCTCCTTGGGTTTCCTAGGCGGTATCTCTACAGAAGTAGATTACCCAATCTTCTTCTCAAGAAGTTGCTGGTGGGTTTGAACCGCCAGCCTTCTGGTTAGCATTCAAATGCCTTACGCACTACGCCACCAGAACTCCCTTTGAAAGCATTAAGGCATATGTATTTGAAGGCATAATATAATTTGCCCTTAATGATGAAAATCCTGACTCCTGACACTTTTGGAAATTTAACAAATTTACCACTAGATGGCGAGAAAACACAATTGTATCAGTTATCAAAGCTAGTACAAGGTTCCAGAACTTTCACTAGAATTTCCACCAGGTGTCAACCAAGAGGGGGGGAAAGATTCAGTAAATACACAAATCCATAACTTGAAGCAAGCGATCTTAACTCTATCAGTGATAAATGGCCTATCGACTAACTATACAAAATTTTTGTAAGTCTATATATATATAATGCTGTTCAGTTTAAGATAGTGCCTAATCAACTAAAATACAACTAAACAAAATTGTTCAAAATAAAAAAAAAAAGCAAAACCAATGAGTTTGGTTTATTATGACTCATAGGCTCAACCAGTGGAAATATAATGCACAAAATAATCTAAAATGTTTAAACGCAGACAGCAAAAAAATCTTCCAAAGTATATGTGCTCATGTGTATATCGTTGCAGATTCATGTTTCTTCCTATTATTTTTATAAGCAATCCTGTTGATTGTCAATAGTCTAGATGAATTTATACTGATACTTTGAATCCCAGTGTGATTTACGAAAATATTGTTATTTTTTTTTAACCAAGTCATTCACAATAAAAAGGAGGAAATATACTTTACCTTTAAGATACAAGAATTACTATGTTGAATAGTTCAAGGCTGTCAGTTGAAAATTAAAATGAAAGCTTTACAGAATTAAGCCCCATTACAATACCAAGTCATGCTTTTAAAGTCATCTTACGTGCTATACAAATTTCTAACAAAGGTTTGTCTATCCAGTTGTGAACAATATGTCAGCTAAACCACTATGTCATGCTGCCTTTTATAAGGTGGTACTGTTTTAGGCCAAATTCTATTCTTACTCCTCTGGACACAGGAGTTTTAATTATGTCATACGCTGCAAATCTAGTAGTAGGTGGTGTCTTAAAAAAGGACTTTTTTTTCTTCAAGGAAGTGGTCAAGCCTAACACCACCACCACCACCACCATGACCACCATCCCACCCCGTGTAATCATGGAAACAACTTTGTTGTTTTTTGGTGCTATCTAGCTATCTAATTAAGGTTGGGCAATCCTACTTTCGTAGTGATACTGCCTCGGAAACCCAAGGAGGGGTCGCTATGAGTCGGGGCCGACTGGACGGCAAACAACAGACAACAACAAGTTATCTAATTAGGTGATGGAGAAGGCAGTTGAATAGAAAGTAAATCCTATTGATTAAATTGTACTTGCTTCTCTTCCTTGATCCTTACAGATTCTTTTCAGATACCTTTGGCCTAGACTGAGTTCCTTTCCACCCTCCCTACAACACACTGGGAGCTCTGGTAGCCTAGTGCCTAAGGCACTGGACTGCTAACCACAAGGATGGTGGGTTTGAACCACCAGCCACTCCTTGGAAGGAAGGTTGGGCAATCTACTTCCGTAGTGATACTGTCTCGAAAACCCAAGGAGGGGTCGCTATGAGTTGGGTCCTACTCGACAGCACATAACGATATATTAGATTTTTTAAAAAACAAACAAAATCTCCCAATAATGCTCCTGTCTGTGAACAATGATTTCTGTCTTTATTACGTTTTCTTATGAAATTCGTTAGATTATGCTCGGCAACCAGCCCCTTGCCCAACTGGTTTCACCCCTTCCTCCATCTCCCTTCAGACATCACTTTTTCCTCCTCCCAGCCAGGCAGTTGGCAAAACCCTGCAGTGCCGGTAACGCACGCTTTGGGCTAGTCACTCAGCAGTTTTTCCTTAGTTGGCTTTGCAAACAGCTCCCCACCCAGCTCTAGTCCCCTAGTGGTCCCCTCTGCCATTATCTTTCTGAGAGTGTTCTCGGGAAGGGGATCCAGAAGGCAAGTCGAGGGTTTCAGTAGCCTGCCCACCAATAGGAGCCCACGATGAACAGAAGTCAGGTTCACCCTCCCAGCCGCCCCAGTGTCTTCTTCCCCTAACTCGACACCTACTGTACCCGCGAGAGAGCAAGCGAGGGAGCGAGCCAGGCGCGGAAGGGGGCGCGCAAGGAGGGCGGACAGCAGCCGCGGCGTGCGCGTGCGCACTTGGGTTGTTTTTCCACAAAGCTGCTCTTAAAGTGAGCTGGCAGGGTTCAGCCGCCCGTCTTTGTACCGAGACCGCTGAGACTAGCAGGATCGCAGAGCAGCAGCCTTTCTGCTGCCCTGACTTTTTAAGAAATCTCAATGAACTATTTGTAAAGAATCGCTGGTCCTGCCTGCAAGCTTTTTGCACGGCAAAGACATCGATCAGTGTTCAGTGAGGATCACATTCTATATGCGATCTTGACTTTTTCTTTTTTTGTCTTACATTATATTTTTATAGATTTTGTTATAAACATGGTGCTGGGAAAGGTTAAGAGTTTGACAATAAGCTTTGACTGTCTTAATGACAGCAATGTCCCTGTGTATTCTAGTGGGGATACAGTCTCAGGAAGGGTGAATTTAGAAGTTACTGGGGAAATCAGAGTAAAATCCCTTAAAATTCATGCAAGAGGACATGCGAAAGTACGCTGGACTGAATCTAGAAACGCCGGCTCCAATACTGCCTATACACAGAATTACACTGAAGAAGTAGAATATTTCAACCATAAAGACATCTTAATTGGGCACGAAAGAGGTAAGTTTTTGCGTTATGCAGAAGTCATTAGACATGTTTTGTTTGGAAAATTAATTTTTCGCTTTTTCTTAATTAATGTAATTGTATTTCTAGCATAACACATAGCAGTTTGATAAAGCCTAGCAAAGTTGGAAGATTTGGATTCTCCTTGACATTCATCATGTAATAGCCGTAATGCATGCAGGCATCTGCAAAGTGACTGCAAACTACCTCTAGTACGCACTTGCAATCTTTTTGCACCTTACTTATAAATTCTGCTTAAATCTGATTCAGTAGTTTTACTAATATGTTTTCAAATGAATTGCTAAAAGCTGCAGTCCAATATTAGATTTTCTCCTATTACATTACAGCCTTAGCCCCGAAAACCCAGTTTCAATGAAGAAATGGAACATTTTTAAGTGGCTAATAGGTGTATTTCATTTTTAATAGTGACACGTAGAAGACTTTAAAGATTGATCATTGTTCTTTGATAAAGGGTTTTCCATGGCTTATTTTGACATATGGTATCAACACCCCACGTGTTTTTGCCCCTATTCTTTCCAGTTCCTTCAGAAATTCACTTCAAGCACTCTTTATTTTAAAGGACAATATCTACCATTTATGATAGGTTTCAAGTCAGCTTTAAAAGCCATTTGGGGTCAGTTAATTTTCTTTTCTAGGCATCATGTGTAACTTTGGAACATGCATTCAATGAAACCCGTGCCAGTGAAATGAAATTGAAAAGTATTTGGCACATTGGATTTGATTTTTGGTCAGAAAAGGGAAATGAAGGGTTGTCAAAGGGAGAAGGGGGTCCTGAGATTTCCAATCTATTGTCTAAATGGTTACATTGTGGAAATATAGGAGACTCAAAGCTTGTTTTTCTAAGTTTCCACCCTTTGTTAGAAGCGGTTCAATCCTGTTTCGGACCAGTTCTGGGGGGTGGTGAGGAGGGGCGCTTGTTCTGCTCTCAGCAGATTGGTTACACGCGTCAGGTGGTGGCGATGACTTAATTCCTAGCCCAAGAAGACTATAATGTTAAAACTGGTTATGTAATTTTTGTGCTTCCCTTTTTTAATGCAGCATTTAGTTTAAATGTTGACGATTTTTCATAAACATAGGTACAGTTTTATCTCCTTTTTTATTTAAAAATACACATCCCTGGGGAAGTGATTATTGAGCTATGGCAAGCGTAGAAATGAATTATAATTTGAGTTACAGTATTATTATTTTTGAAAACATTAAGGTGAAATCAATTATTTAATAGCGTTTTCGTTGTACATAGGCAATTTGCATCCTGAAATGATTTGTAATTTAATTTCTCCAAGCATTAACTCTGATAGAAAATGCAAATGCCTAATGACAGCCCTGGATTTTCTGAAAAGCGACACACGATTTTGTGTGTCAACCTTTCAGAAGATTGCAGCCTTTCATAAAATGGATGGGAAGAAACAAAGGTTTTTCTTTAAGGAATTGAGACTTGCAATAGGGTAAAGTAGAACAATGAATATGGGATAAATACAATTTCATTAGTTGCCTTACGATTTCATGGTAAGGAACTATGTGTCCCACACCCCACGAGATGCTCCTAAACCCTGCAAAGCATGGACGAGCGCTTAGCCTGGAATAGTTTCAATGACTTAAAACTGGGACCTCTCAAACTAGCCTGGTAACCGAGACCCCGCCTCGGGCGGTCCGCGATAGGCGGAGCCGGGTTTGTTAGCCTGTTGCTAAGGCGATGCCAGGCGCTGATTGGATTGGGTGCAGACGGGTGGGGAGAGTGGGCTCTGGGGCGAGGCTTGGAACCGGCGTGCGCCGGTAAAGGTCCCTCCAGGGTGGCCGCCTCCGCCCCTACCCGTGTCCCTCCCGGGGCATTTAGAGGCGCCCCCCCCCACACACACACACACACACACACACGTCCGGCCTGTGTTACATCATGTTGTCTTTCCGGCTTGCTTGGGGCACCAAAAAAACTGAATTCAGACTTCATCAGACTAAGGGGACAAGCTTTGCTCACATTAAAGGTGCAGAATGGCCCTAAATGCAACTTTAACTGGAAATCCTATTCAAAGATAGGGTGAGTAGGATAAGAGGTCCCCTTTTTCGTGTTTTCCAAGCCAAAGTGTCAGGTGGCTTCCATGAAAGCTGTTTTTCTTTAAGCTGAAGCAACGTGTATGCCCCTATATTCTTGGTCTCTAAATCAGCTACCTTGATTTGACCTGAGGTGAGAAATGGCTGGCCAAGAGGAGAAAAAAATGTTTATAATACCTAAATATGAGGAAAGGTGGCCTTGTCGAGTACTCCATCCCCCCCCCCCCATTGTTTCTCTGTACTTGCCATCCCCTCCACCCAGGCCTCAACCGCTCTAGTTTTCCCCAACCACCGACCGTAAAGGTGTCAGGGTGGCTCGAGCCAGATCGAACCGGTCACCGGCTGGGGCGTGTAAAGCGGAAGCGCCGCCGCACGCGCTTGCCCCGCCCTCTGTTGAGCAAGCTAGGCTGCGCGCGGGCGCGAGCGCCGCGCGACATATGCCGTACGTATAGCGCGCGGACGGTGGCGGCGGCGGCGCGCGGGCGGGCCGGCTGGGATCTGCTCGCGCCGGTTTAGGCCGGTCCTCTCCTGCTCCGGTCTAGTTCTTGATTGACAGCCCAGCACTTGTTTACCACGGCGGCCGCGCCGCGGCTCGCCTCAATGAGACTGCTGAGCTGGCACAAAAAGGAAGCGAGAAGGGAAGACAGGGAGAGGAAGGCAAACTTTGGACGCATTCGATGGGAGAAAATTTAAATGTCCCCCAACTCTCTAGCCAGTGTTTGATGCAGAAATCCTTTGAGAGGATTTGCACAGGGGATGACAAAAACAGCACTTAGGTGTATACGAGTCACCATGGTTTTTGAATAAAAGTCGATATATAGGTGTTTTATTTATTTCGTTAATCTAAGAAGAAGTATCCCGGTTTTTTGTGTATATTAAAGTTTGCTGAGGAAAAGTGAAACGATAGTACCAGTGTTTCTTCCTCGCCTGGTTAATTATGAAGGTGTCTGCACGGATAAAACTACATAAATAGGGCATACTTGAGTATTATCTAATGCAGGATGCTAAAACGATGCTGAAAACTCCAGAACAGTTCCACGTTTTCGATGACATTTATGTTCGGGCCATTCAAGAAATGATATATTTGATCAAGACAAATTGGCTGTAAAATGGAAGATTATCCTTTTTTTTCTAACAATTGGAAACAACCTTATTTCACTTCATTTTTCAAGGATGTGGGACACTTTCCCGGTAAACAGGCACCCTGTAAATGCTATCCTTTGTAATTGATTATGGTGTATTTTGTATATATGTGTATTTTTAGATGTTTCTAGGAAGTCCATAAAGGAAAACCTTCAATGTTGAATGTTGGCATTTTTGGTTCAACAAATTTATATTTTTAGTTAGGAGACATTTAAATCACTTTTCCCTTTGTTAACTCCAACATCTATTTGACAGAAAGTTTTCTAATGGTTTAGGAATTGTACTATGTGTATTACGTTCACAAGTTTGGTATAATTTCCCCAAAACTGACATTTTAAAAGGTTTACATGAAGTTTGTACCTTAATACATTTAGTACACAGATGGAGACAAAAAACATTATCTTAATATGATTTGGAGCCCTTAACCTTTTGTTGAGCATATACTGATAGTAGATACAGTTGCTTTACAGTTTGGGTTACTTTCCATTTTTAAGAAAAGGTTATGGTGTATAAGTATTAATTATCCCCATTTTACACATAGACAGCTGAAGACACAAAATGATGAAGTTGGGATTAGAACTCAGATCTCTCAGACTTAAAGGCTTAGGGCTTGAATCATTATAGCAGCATAAAGTTTGTGAACATGAGGACCATGCAAAAGTCTAATAACAGACCTTTTGTTTTCTTTTCCTGCTCGTTTTAGATGATGATAATTCTGAAGAAGGCTTCAACACTATTCATTCAGGAAGGCATGAATATGCATTCAGCTTTGAGCTTCCACAGACGTAAGTATTGTAGTAATAGGCATGTTTCATAAATATCTATGGTCAAAAGTATTTTTTAAAAATTAGATATTCTAAATTTAAATATTTTTAATTAAAAAAAACCCTTTTCATTACTGGAACTTGCTAGAGAAAAACAATATATTAAACATAAGAAGCTATTTTTTATCTAATGTGGCAAAATTATAAAAATACACAATTCTTAGCATTCTGTCCCAATGTTTATGAAGTTTTTAAAATATGAGTAGAGTTTCATTGAACATGAGTCAGTGAGGATGCCGGTCAAATAGTAAACATTTTATAAATACTTAGTTTATTATCATTTACATTTAGAGAGGGTAGAGCACATCAAGTCTCTGATTCAGTAGTTTCAGTTTATATACAAATTCAGCCTTCTACTTTTTCTGCTGTTACTAACCAGTAACAGTAAGTTTAGAAGATAAAAATAATTAGCGCTATCCTAAATTTAAAATGATGTTCTTTTGATATGAACTCAATAGCTTCTGTGCCAAAAAAAATTTAAAAAAATAGCTTCTGTGCAAAAAGAAACATCCATCATAGACACTCTGAGGCTTGGAATCTAATATGAAAGGAAAATGGTACATTGTTGGAATAGATTATTCAAACTTTATTCCATAATGCCATTAACAGGTTTAAAACCCTACAAGGTGGCACTTAGACTAATCTGAGATTACATAAGAATTTATCAAGTGCCAAAATGTACATAATTCTACATTTGTTAATTCTAGTACTTGAGTTGCTATGTGTAAAGAGTTCATAAAAGTTACTTTAAAGAGTATTATATTACTTGAGAATCTCGTTTTGAATACAGTACCCTAATCTACCTTCTGAGAGAAATACTTTAAGTCTATAGATAGAATAAGATAAATATTTGTTCTGAATGTTTTCAAAGAGTAGACATAATTTAATTTTTTTTAATGGTATCTAAACCAAACCGTTTAAAATAAATTTTGAAAGCGTAGCATAAAGTGTTAAGATTTAAAAGTGCTACATTTTATTTCTCTGTGCTATAGGAGTTAATGTGGGGCAGAGTAAAATGCAAAAATATATTTATAAAAATGTCACTGTTTCTCTTATACTAACCCAAGCTAGTGTTATACCTTTTAAATAATTAAAAATTTTTCTAATGAAATTATGAAAAAGAGACTCCCTAAAATAAGACTCTCCACAAGTAACAATATCTGAGAAAATTGAAAACTGATTGTCTTAATACTTACCAGTAGAATTTTTTTTTTTTTTATTTTTAAGCCTCTACAGTAAAGTTAAACATGGCCAGAAAAAAAGAACATGAGTAAACTGGAAAATGTAAAGGCAATTTTCCAGAGTTGCAGAGTTACAAAATGTGAAATTTTTGAAACTATAATGACTATGCTAGGCCTTTTCTAGACCTTCTTAATTAGTTACTATATAAAGAGGCAATAGTTCATAGCTAATGAAGAGTAGAGCATTGTAGGGAATTTGGTCTGAATGTTTAACCGGTGTCTAGAATTTTTCAATAGAAATAGTTGAACCATTCTTAACTTTATTTTTAAATTAAATGCTTGACCTTTTGAAGAATTGTTCGTTTCACAACTTTCATAATTTTGCCACAAGCATTAAAAGTAGCCTCTTAGTTTAAAGGAACTATATCTTTCTGGCTTTTTGAAGCAAAATTTCTATAATACTTAACTATTATGTATAATTATTTGGAAACAGACTTTTTTCCCCAATGACTTATCCCTTTGGAAACTTTAAAAACTATATGTTTGATACCTCATTGATGCATAAACAATACAAAATATTAATGCTTTTATGCTGACCTATTGTATAATTATCGAAAAGAGGTATAAAATTAATATATTGACCTTTATTCTGCACAGACCACTTGCTACCTCATTCGAAGGCCGACATGGCAGTGTGCGCTATTGGGTGAAAGCCGAATTGCACAGGCCTTGGCTTCTACCAGTAAAATTAAAGAAGGAATTTACAGTCTTTGAACATATAGATATCAACACTCCTTCATTACTGGTAAGAATTGACTGAATTCTTCATTCTTTGTTTTTGGCGAATAAATACCAAAGAACAGTCACTTAAAACTATGCAACCTTTATAATGATTTCATTTTAAAATTTTATAAATATAAATTTTTTAAATGCAGTCGAGCATACATATTAATGAAGCATATGCTCAAATTTTCTGAAAACTTACTAAGTAAATAAATAAATAAATATGACCAGTATATTATATGAACTATTTCTTATTCAGAAGATAACAGCAATAACAAAAAATAATCTGTTCCCTGGTTAATTTTACTGGAGAGGAACAGTAATATTATGTATTGAAAGACAATATCACTTAACTTGAAGATAATAAATTTAAAATTGCACTGCGTTACATTATTCCAATATAGGGATAGTTGTCAAATGATGGGGAGATTATCACTTCAGTGAAAAAAAAATATTCCTTTTTTAAAGGAAATCTTTTCAGTCACATTTTTTTTATGAGATTAGTTCAAATTTGACTTCAAAACTTTATTTGGTTTAAACAAATGATAACATCTTTAAAGCACATAAGACTCTTAAAAATGAGTAGTTTTCCCTTTTTTAGTAATTAATTTTCACTTTCTTAAGGAAAGATGTTAACATTTGGGATTATAACCAAGAATCATTCTATGCTGCCTTTTTTTTAAGGTAGTTTAAATGGAATGTGGAAAGGGTTTTTTTTTGTTGTTGTTCTTATTTAGTTGATTGGTGCATTTGTTTTGAATTACTATGTAAGTAAATAGTGTCGCCTCAAACCATGTTAATGTGATAATATATTAAGCCCTGTACCCCTTTTTTCTTTAATTGAATGGAAATTTATATAAAGACAAAACAAGTCAGAAATGATTTGATAGTAAAGAAAATATATATATTTGGATTCAGAAAAAAACAAGCAATGTTTTTAATTTTAAATTCTCTAAGAGTGCAGGGTTGTATTTGAAAATGTTCTGATATGTTCCGATTTATACATTGATCTTTTTCTCTAAATTTATTTTTTTCAGTCACCCCAAGCAGGCACAAAAGAGAAGACTCTCTGTTGCTGGTTCTGTACCTCAGGCCCAATATCCTTAAGTGCCAAAATCGAAAGGAAGGGCTATACCCCAGGTACGTATGATTTGGATTCCTACCAAAAAATCTTTCTTCACTTGGCTTTTACGTATAAATTTACAATATTGCTACTAAATGCAAACATAATACAGTATTCTTTGATGATATAATATAGATTGTGCTTTTCCAACTTCACTTATAAATTGGAATATAATCTTATAGCTACTGTAAGTGATTAGTTCATTTTTATAGCTCTAGGCATGTGGTTATCTGTGTAGTATGTTGAACTTCCTAACTTCAGCTTAAGAATCTACATTTGTAATTTTTCTTGCGTTAATTGAGATAAAAATATACACAGAACTATATTCACCAATGCAACAATTTATACACATTTGTATTTTTTGTTACAGTAGTTTATTTTCCCTCCCAACTCTCTCTTAGGTGAATCAATTCAGATATTTGCTGAGATTGAGAATTGCTCTTCCCGAATGGTGGTGCCAAAGGCAGCCATTTACCAAACACAGGCCTTCTATGCCAAAGGGAAAATGAAGGAAGTGAAACAGCTTGTGGCTAACTTACGTGGGGAATCTTTATCATCTGGAAAAACAGAGACGTGGAATGGCAAATTGCTGAAAATTCCACCAGTTTCTCCTTCTATTCTCGACTGTAGTATAATTCGTGTGGAATATTCACTAATGGTATGTATAAATTTAAGGGTTATTTTAAAATCTTAAAGTTACAAGGATATTTTGTTTTAAATCCATAATTTGAATTTTATATTCTCTGTATAGCAATATATACAAATATATATAAATCTATGTAGTTTAGATTACAACTACTAGTTTTACTTTATATGTAAACATACTGCACGCTATCGTATAATGGAAAAAGTTCTCTTGTCTATCATATGTACCTAAATAAAGAATGAAGTAAATGACAGCCTATAACATTAAAATTGAGTTATTTGTTTTTAAAAAAGAAATGGTATTTGGATGCTAAATCTACCATACTCTTTCACTCTTTAGGTATATGTGGATATTCCTGGAGCTATGGATTTATTTCTTAATTTGCCACTTGTTATTGGTACCATTCCTCTACATCCATTTGGTAGCAGAACCTCAAGTGTAAGCAGTCAGTGTAGCATGAATATGAACTGGCTTGGTTTATCCCTACCTGAAAGACCTGAAGGTAATTTGATAATACATGTCTAAACCAATCCCCTATTAGTCTTACTAAGAACATAGTTTTGCTTTTGATATTTGTGACCCTAGATAAACTTTTGTCTTTTCCCTAAAAAAGAACAGCAGTGCCCCTAATGTAACATTTAAAATACATGTCACCCTAGTTTTTGATCACCAAAATACTTACTATTTTACCTTGACATTCCTTTTTAATACCTATTATTCTGTATATTTTGACATGCATAAGAACATGCTGTTCGAATTGCGTGTATCTTTTTCCAACAGCACCACCAAGCTATGCAGAAGTGGTAACAGAAGAACAAAGGCGGAGCAATCTTGCACCAGTGAGTGCTTGTGATGATTTTGAGAGAGCGCTTCAGGGACCACTATTTGCATATATCCAGGAGTTTAGATTCTTGCCTCCACCTCTTTATTCAGAGGTAAGCACCAACCTCTCAAGTGTGAAATAGATTGGTTCTCTTGGAGAACAGCATTGTACATTTACTAAAAGTATAGTTAGATCTTGATTATTGTGATGACGATAATAGAAGAACACTAAATTTAGGACAACAGATAAAAATAACTTTTAAAGATTAGGGATGTCAGTATTTACTAGCTTTAACACAGAATGACTGTTCAATTACATTACTGGTTAAATAGGATAATGATGTAACTGCATAGAGAATTATTTATTTATTTATTTATTTATTTATTTTTTGAAGAGCTCTGTTTTGGTTCCCTAGAGCTGCTTTAACAGAAAATTACCAAAAATGGGTGGCTTTACAAACAGGAGTTTATTCTCTTGCAGTTTAGAAGGCTAAAAGTCCAACTTCAAAGTACCAAACTCTAGGGGCTGGGTGAAGGCGCCTCGACCTTGGGGTTCAGCTCTACCCTTTGCTTCCAGCCAACTGAAGCTAGAAACTTCTCTTAACTCAGGCCATGCTGGCTGCTGAGGGTAACAAAAACCCAAAGGTGACAAATAAAATGGCACAGTCCCAAAATTACCAAACTATGGCAGGCCTGTAGTTCAAGTCCAGAGCCAGCTCCAAGATTGGCAGGCTGTTGAATGAAGACTCAGCTACATGCAGGGTCCAAGTGTGCCAAAAAGCTGCAGGAGACCTTTCTCAATGCTGCTGCTTACGTACTGGAAGCAGACCATATTCCTAAGGCAGCTATTCAGCTGCTCTAGTAGATTACACTATGGAGTTGATTACCAGTCTCATCATGGGGAATAACCATATCCAGCTGTTTAGCCACTCGACCAGGCCCAGCCAAGTTGACACACAACTTATCTACCACAAGCTCCTATTTTAAAGCATCAGTGGAAATAACCAGTATTTTGCATGTGTTGATTTAGCTAGAATTATCTTATTTATGGTTCTTTTTTCAGTTTACTCTTTGAACATTTTAACAGTCATAGGGAAAAGTAACATACTACAGTAACATCATAAAAATATTTCTGTACTATTAGATTATTTTCACTCATTTCATATTAATAGCACATGAACACTAATGTGAATAAAACATGTCACTTATTTGGGAAAAGCTTACAGACTAGTGAGAAAAAGAAACTTAAAAGCAAATTATCACATAGTGATTGGTAGGTATCCACAGTTCATTGGAAGAGTAATTTACTGGGCTCTGGGAATCAGAAAGGGGCATCCCTGAAGGAGGTAACAAGCTGAATCTTGGAGAATGAACAGTCCTCAAAGTGTAGATTGGAAGAATAGCATGTGTATGGGCAGAGATGGGGGTACAGGGACCCAGTATTTTAAGGGAATTTCAGAATATATACATATACATAGTATACAATTAAAGGGGCCTTGAAGTTGACCTTGATACCAAAATAGTTTTATAAATCACTAGAATTATTATTTTCTTTTGGTTCTTGCACTTTAGGCAAATTTTGTTATATTGTTTTTATTCCAGCAGTTTTGTCTTGCTTATTGAGTCATTCATTTCTGCTTGATTTGAGATTTCTGGCCATGCAAGGGGCATTTTAAATGAACAGCAATCCAAATTTCATTCACTTTGGACAATATGTCATGAAATTCTCAGATGAACTAAAGATGATTAAGAAAATTAAAAATTTTTGAATATTAAAGTAACTTCAGGATGTGATTTAATTTGTTATCATTTAGCCTTATAGAAAGGAAAACATCCTATCTAGATTGTATTACAACCATTTTAAATTTTCTTTTTTTATTTCAAGGATAGTCATTAAAAGACACAAAGTGATTTGGCTTTTTTTCCTTAATTTATACTTAAAGCTTCTGAAAGACTTTGGATTGCCCCACATTTAAATGCAGATGGATGGGCCTTGTCCAAAAGATCTTTCAGTAAAAGTGTTAAACCCAACAATTTGCCTTGGTGCCATTCTCTTTGTACATGGGAAGCTGCTGAGATACATTGACTTTCAGAAGTGTATGTGTACCAGGGAAACGGAAGCCTCTAGAACATTTTGAGTTCAGCATTGTTACTTCCTGATGCATATGATATTCTTAGGCCTTCTATGGGTTTTACACTGTGAGTTACTACCTTACATAAACACCAAGAGCATTGCTTGCACAAGTGCCTTCTTCCTGAAGCTAAGAGAAGAGTTGCTTCTGTTTCTAGAGCGATGAAAGGGATACTTTATAATAGGACATCATTGCTATGAAGATAGTTTACACTGTATTTGAGTCTTAAGTGCTATTCAGTGCTGGATAAAAAAATGTACTTTTCTCTGATAAAATTTTACCATTGGCTTTTGTGAAATAGAGGAGTATTAAGGCATACCTTTATAAATTTTATTGTTAATATAGTAATTGAATATCTGGCACTTTATAGATAACACTAGCACCTTTTCTTTTCCCCCCACAACATACAAGATATGAAAAGGGAATAACTGAGTTTAACAGTTTAGTTTGCTGCCAAGTGTTTATGCTCCTTCTAATTGTATTTCTAATTAGTACTCATGTTATTTGCTGCATTCTTAGACTTTATCAAATAAATTTTTAATTTTATTCTCATTTCTTTCTAGATTGATCCAAATCCTGATCAATCAACAGAAGACAGACCATCATGCCCCTCTCGTTGAAGGAATACTTGTTTAAATCAAGTCGATGTGGGTTCCGAACTATATCTCTTCCCGGCTGAGGACAGAGGAAGTATCTTGGAGACACGTTTTCAGAGGAAGTGGAATTGCTTTTGCCCAGAAAAATGGCAAACACATGAAACAACCAGCGATCATGCTTTAGAAGCCTACAGCAACATTCTGGGACTGCTCCAACATGCTTGAAGATCTAAGCTTTTCTCCTTGAAAACTGGCACATACTAAGAGCAGTCTTCTTAACCTATGGTCATACGTGTCAAGACATCACATTGTAAAAGAGGGATGACTTCCTTCTTTTGATTTGAAAATTTGCACATGCTCAATGCCTACATTGTGCGGTTCGATGTCACTACAGCTTTTTTTTTTTTCCATTTATAAATGCCAGACTCTTGATACTCTTTTAAAACTTGTTGTGGTCAGCACAACAAGGAACAAAAGAAAGCTTTGAAAAACTTTAACATGAAAAAAATGCACTGACATTTTTTTTTTATTATTTAATATAGCCTGGACTTTACCTGCGTATGCACATGCTCAGATTGTCCTACTAGGCTGACCATGTATCACCTCTTCAGCTTGGATCCTGTTGTGGATTTATTTACAAACATCAAATGCCTTCAAGCCAATCCTTCTTGCTGTATGTTTTGCATCCTACTGTAGTAGATACGCAACAGATGTGTGGGAAAAGAGATAAGAGGAGGAAGCTAATAAGAGACTTTGTCAAGATTGTATACCTTCTTGGTTTCTTTTAAGAATTTGTTGCCTTTCTACTATTACAGCAAAGCAGCATTTTGTTACTGACTGCCTAAAATCACTTAATCTCAGGTGAACGCATCACTTGCCAAACTGTTGGAATGCTATTTGTGTTTTGTTGCACTGTTGAGTTTTTTTTTGTTGTTGTTATTTGGTTGGCTTTTTAGAGAGGGAAATTTGGAAAAGGGACATACACAAAAGTGATAACCCACCCACATTCCCTTTTTATCATTATACACATGAGAAGAAATTAGCAGAGCTAAGAATAAAGAAAGGCAGTATGGCAGGCACCAGCACAGAGTTAAGGGCTGTTGCTCTTAAAAATTATTTTTATTGTTACTTTAAAAGTATGGATGTTTTCCAGTCACCAGGGAAAGGAGGGGAAAGTGCATTTATTTTTATACAGAGTTACTTAATTACCTCCAAAACACATGTTGGAAATCATTTTTGCTGGTGGAAAGTATTTTAACGAGCAGGAATACATTAAGGTTAAGACTAGAGAGCTCATTTGCTATCCTGCTCAAGCATGACAGAACGTAAAAACCCAAGTTTATTCTAAAGATGTATAACTTCACAATTATAGTAGAATGTGTTCGAGGATAATAACTTATTCTTTTGTGTTCAATTTTTAATGAAAATTTTTTTTTTCCATTATGTAAAGAATATTTTACTAAACATGAGAAGTCACTTGGGTGTATATGTATATATGTATTTATATATATATATATATGTCTGTGTATATATAAATACATGTATATATAGTACAGTGATCGTATCAGTAAATTATAGTTTATGTTAAAGAAAATTAACAGTTTGCTCATAAATATACCAGCATTCATGTTGACATTTAAAACTGCATTTTTCAAGATACAAAGTGTACTGATTATTTTTTATTTTAGATGGAATTCAGCTCTGACATTTTTTAATGAAAATCAGCATCTCTGATGTTGCAACATGTGTGTGAAATGGGTGTTACATCTGTCCTGCCATTTAATCCACAGTTAATAAAGTGGCTGAAAATAATAGTAACTCTGGCTTGGTGCTTGACCTGGTTAAATACTGTCTTAAAGCTTCATACAAAACAAATAGGCTTTTCCATAAGTGGCCTTTAAGAAAACATGGAAGAAAATTCATGTTTGAAAACTGCTGACAGGGTGAAGAAAGCCCAGTGTAAAAATGAATCGCGTTTTAAGTGATTCGGTTAAAGGGTTTGGGCTCCCGTAAGCAAACTAATATTAGGTAATAAGGAAATGGGGGTGAAATATTTTTTTATTACTGTTAATCATTTTGTGAATGTTCCCCTCAAAAGAAGCTAATGGAATATTTGGCATAAAGGGCATTTGGTGGTTTTATTTTTGTTTGGGGGGGATTGTCAGAAAATCCCTTTTCTTTTCTCTCTTATGTATGACTAGGGAACAATTGTTGATATGCATAGCATTGGAATACTTATCACCATATACTCTTATAAATAACACATGAAGCAAGAATGACCAATATTTCAGTAATTGGCAGTGGTTCACAAAATATGTAATAAAAATTTAAATCTATAAAACTTTATCAAATAAAGTTTTACTTTCTCTATTAAAGTATTTCTTTACTCTTATTTAGAGGCATTACTTTACTTTTACCTGAATATTGGTCAATTCCTGACATATGATGTGAGGTTCACAGTTGTATTCCAGTATTCAAGATAGATTCCTGATTTTTCAATTAGGAAAAGTAAAATCCAAAATGTTAGCGAAACCAAGTGCAATATTAAATGTTTGCTTTATAGGTTATATTCTATGGCTGTTTTGTAATTTTCTCCCCCTTTTTTTTATTTGGTGCTGAATATGTCCTTGTAGGCTCTGTTTTAAGAAAACAATATGTGGGAAATGATTTAATTTTTCCTATTGCTCTTCCTTGTGGAAAATAAAGTGTTTTGTTTTGTTTTTTTTTCTTTTTTGTAAAATTGTCTGGAGGTTTATTTGAATCTTGATCATATTAGTAACACATCATACAAGCGTGCACTACAATTAAACTATGTTAAACCATTCTGGATAAGAATTAGTTCTAGATCTTGATCTCTACTAAAGAAAATTACTGATGCCTTAGAATATTCGATA